CGCGCAGACACGAGTCTTTCCGGCCCCGCGTCCTCCTCCTCCGCACCTGCCCCCGGGAGCTCGGGCCCAGGAAGGGGCGGGGGGCAGGCCACCGCCCTCGCGGCGTGGGGAAAATGAGGGGGTGAAGGAGCCGGTCTGGTGTACCAAGCGGAAGGAAGAGGGAAGGGTGGGACCCGAGACCCAGGAGAGCTTCTCTGAGGCCTCTCCCAGGTGAGAGAGGAGAAGATGCCCCAGGAAGGGGCAGTCTACCCCCACGTGCCCGGGGCCCGGGGCCCGCGCACAGCCTGGACGGGCACAAGCTGATGCAGGGTAAAGGTTTGGAGAATGAATGAACGGCCATCGGACCTGGGGAAGCTGCTAGTCACGTATGCTACCAATATGACTGCCACTTGCTCAGCACCTAATGACACTGGGGACAGAGGTGAATGGGTCACGATTTTTGCCTTCAGGAAGCACACAGGCTCCTGGGGCAAATATGCACAGAAATCAGTGGGAGGCAGCTTTGAAAGAAGAGAGCATACTGGGCTGGCAGGGCTGTGAGTGCAAGGCCTGGCAGGGGGAGCTGGTCTGGTGAACCAAGTGTGTGCTGAGCTCCTCATGGCTCCCACCCAACGTGTTAGCAGACACCTGCTCTAGAGGGTCCTGGGAGACGCAGAAGGACCAAACCTGACCCTCACTGCGGGGTGCTCAGTCTGCCCCTCCTCTGCTATTGTCCACCTTGGTAACATAATCAAACACGCACTTGGTGCTGTGTCCTGTCCAGGGTGCTGGCAACCAGCACTGTAGAAGACCCTTCTTTTTGGAACTCTAGGACAGGGAGGTCATGACAGTTTTTCCACTCTTTGCTGAGCTTCCGGCCGAAAGTGCCCTGAAAGAGTAGTCTGCTTCACCTGTGTGCCCCTTTTGCAGCGACTTTCCTCCAGGTTACATAGTAAGACTGTGGTTGGCCCAGGCTGAGGATACAGGATGCCCCAATACAGCTTGTAGGAAGCCCAGAGGAGCCCCAAGCTGGCACAGCATCTGGTACCTTCTGCCTCCCCAATGGGTATTGACCCCAGGGAGGTGCTGCCTGGAAATAGGCATGGCAGGCTGGGTCCTTAGTGCCCAGAGCCTTCCTTATCTCCTGTCCCTTATCGAGTCCGGGGCTGGGCCTTCCTCCCAGCCTCTGGGGGCATCTGCCGATTCTGTTCTGCCTCGTCATCCAGCAAGCTAGGGAGGAGGGGTGAGGAGAGCCTGGCCTGGCCTCCCTCCTATTGCTGTAGCCAGCTCAGGCCTCAGGCTGCTGAGAACACTGTCTTGCCTGACCAGAGAGTATGGGCATCATAAGATAGGCTTCTTCAGGCCGTGGGTGAGGCGTAGGAGTTTGGCCAGACCCAGGACCCATGCCTCCACTGGGGAATCCTCACCCCACCTGGCTGTGTCTCTCCCACCTACCTGGCTCTAGACAAGTCTCTTCTCTCTGAACTTTAGTAACCTTTTTTGTGGAATGGTTGGGAACAGGACATGAAAACTAAAGGAAATCCCAATTGTCTCTGAGTCCTGAACCCTGGCCCGTGGACTGGCTGCATCAGAATCGCTTCATGAGCTGGCTGACAGCTTGGGGCTGGGTCTTTGCCAGCTTCCCAAGTGGTTTGGGAGCCTTTGGTGTATATATTCAGTTGACACCTAATAAATATCTGACATATTTGGGGTGGGAAAGGAGCTTGGGTTGTGACCCCAAGGATACGGGTTCCAATCCTGCCTCTGGTACCTCCAGGTTTTGTGATCTTGAACACAATGGTTCATTTCAGGGTCTTGGTTTTCTTATGAAATTGGGCCAGGTCTGGCAGAGCTGCTGAGAGGATGAAGTGGGACAGCCCTGGGGATGTGAGGCCTCGCTTAGTCCTTCCTTTTCCAGGTTCCCAGAGACATAGTGAGGTGACCAAGCTGGGGCGGGGAGGAGCCCCACTGACTGGTGGCAGTTCCAGGACAGGATATTTGCGTGTGACTCTGTGCTGCTGCCTTAATGTGGCTGGGAGGAGGGGAGGGAGGAGGAAGTAACTGATGGGGAGGCAGGCGGATGGAGGGTTGGGTGAGGGACCTGCGGGGGTGGGGGAGGAGTTCCCCTTCTAGGGAGGCCTTGCCTGGGTTGGGGTGGGGGGGTCTGTTGCTTACTCAGAGTGGAGCAATGACTGGGATACACTGGGTGTGGGCTGCAGGAGGGCTGCTAGTGGGTTTCCCAATGGGTGCCCTGCAACACTTCCTCCTCTGGTCAGCTTGGGTCAGGGAGCACATTGAGGGACCCAGCCCTGCTTCCTCCCTAGAAGGCAGCCCCTTCCCCTTGCACACCCGCCTTCAACAAGGCCAGATGGAGATAAGACTGGGTAACCCAGGGGGGAAACTGAGGCCAGGCAAGGGAAAGTGGTAGCTTGAGATTGCCATTGATTTGGAGCTGGGGCCCACCTCCTGTCACAGCCCTACTGGTGTTGGACACAGACTCTCCCAGTCACCCTCGCAACACCTCCGGAAGTGGCCTAGGACCCAAAGTACACATGGAGAAATTGAGGTTAATAGTGGGCAAGTGATGGGCCTAAAGTGTGAATTGGAGATTCCAACCAAGGTCTCCAAGACTCAGGCCCCTTCCACTATTCTCAACCTCATGGCCCACAGGCCCCATCTGGCTAGCTCTCTTAACATGTTTTATTTGGCTGAAGTGGTATTTAAAAAAATAGGAACCAATATTTCATATAACAGTCTGGATTCCCAGAGCTGGCCACACTGAGCCAGCATTCTTGCCTAGCAGAAACCAAGCAACAGCTGGAGTTGTGCTGCAGCCGCCTCTATTAGAAGGGACACGACTAGGTCAGTTCACCACACTCTCCACCACTCCCTGTTGTCTCCCATCTGGTCCACATTCACCATATCTGCCTAGCTTTGTAGGCATTTGAGCTGCTACCTGGGTCTCCGCAGCTGCAGTTGAGAGGTCACCTAGGTGAAATGAGGCAGGTATGAGGGCCAGGGAAGCCCCTGTGTGCAGGGGTGGGCATCCTGAGTGCCAACCCTCCTGCTGCCACCTTATTTGAGTCTCTTATAGCCCTGATACAGGGCCCAGTGACTCAGGCTGCCCTCTGGCTCTGGCAACTGTCAGGCATATGTCCTAGAATCTCCCCCTTTTGGGTGTTGATTTACATGGTTCCCGCCATTGTCAAGTTCTTTTCTATTTTCTTCACCTGAGAAACTACCTGCTAGGTAGCAGCTGAGACTTGCCGAGGCTGCCCAGAAACCCCCTTCCCCAGCATCCTGGCCTTACTGCCCTCTTGGCTCTTCCAGCCCCGGAGCCCCTAGCAGGAGGTTGGATGGGACCATGTATGTCCGGGAACCCAGTGAGGATGTGTTGGAGTTATAGAAGGAAGGCCTCTACAAGCCTCCTTTAGTGAACTGTGCCTCGGCTGGGCCCTGAAGGCCTCCGGACCACGCTGAGAGTGGAGGGGAGGCATGGCGGTGGCCAGACTCAGCGCCTGTTCGCTCCCACAGGTGGTGGCGGGAATCGCAAAGGCAAAAGCAAGAAATGGCGACAGATGCTGCAGTTCCCCCACATCAGCCAGTGCGAAGAGCTGCGGCTCAGCCTCGGTGAGGCCTGGGTGGAGACCCGGGGTACTGAGGCCAGGGTGCCCTGCTGGTGTCAGGGAGCCTCCCCTGAGACCTTACCCTGGGGCAGACGGGCAAGGTTGGGGGGGGTCCAGGGAGCAGATTTAGGCTACACCACCCACCTCAGTTTCAGTTCCTGGACTTGTGATGGGTGAGGGCAAAGAGCAAACAAAACAGCAGGGGGCGGGTGGGGTGAGTGTGGGGAGTAGGGCAGGGTCAGATTTGGGGCAGTATGAGAGAAACAGAGGAAGAAAGGGCTGGGCCTAGGGGGAGCAGAGCTCAGGGGACAGAGGATATAGTAGAGGCTGGAGCCAGCCCACAGATTGACTTTGTTGGGAACCTTACCCAGTCTGGTCCTGGGGGGCCCAGCAAAGCCTTGACCAGAAGGGCCCAAAACCCCAGTTCCTGCTTATCTTGGCTGAGGCCCCAGGTCTGAGCAGTACTTGAGGTTGCCCAGGCCCCCCTGACAACCTACATGTGGGCAAGGAGTATATTGTAGCTGCTTCCACTGCCTGGGAAGGAGATCTAGCCTGGAGTGCAACGGAAGCCACAGCTTCCTCCCGTACTTTCGCCAGGCAGGCAGCAGGTGTGGGCCCAGCCTGGGCCTGGGCGGAACCTCAGACCACACCCAACCCCAGCACTGTGACAAATTCGAGGTGGTGTGAACAAGGAGACAGTGGGGGAGGTGAGGGCCCCGGTTCTAGAGCCATAGTCCTGGCTGTGTGACCTTGGACTAATCACTTAGCCTTTCTGGGCCTCAGAGTCCCAAGCTATGATGTAGTAGAGGTTCTAAAGGAGAAAATGGGTGCCATGCTTCAGGGCTGGAAGCTGTCGATGGGACCCAGGGCCTGGTGGTGTGGACAGGAATGCCCCACTGGCTAGCTCCAGGTCCAGAACCCAGCAGCTCCCACCTCTGCCTGCAGAGCGTGACTACCACAGCCTATGTGAGCGGCAGCCCATTGGGCGCCTGCTGTTCCGAGAATTCTGCACCACGAGGCCTGAGCTGACCCGCTGCATTGCCTTCCTGGATGAGGTGGTGAGTGCTGCTTAGCCCCAGCCCCAGCCCAACACCCAGGTAGACAGAGGTCCCAGACCCTGTGTGCTCTGGTGCCCCACACCTGTTACTTCCCCCAGACCTCAAGCCTCTCCACCTTCCACCCTGCAGGCTGAGTATGAAGTGACTCCTGATGAGAAGAGGAAGGCATGTGGGCAGAGGCTAATGCAGAATTTTCTGAGCCACACGGTGAGTGAGCAGTGATGGAGGGATGACGGCAGCGGGCAGAGCTCAGTGATGGGGAGAGGAGTGGTCACCACCTGGGCAGAGATGCCCTGGAGCTGCTCCAGGCTCACCAGGCAGCACCGTGGGCACAGAGCCTAGGAGGGGGGACAAGCAGCCTGCCAGCAGCTCTGCTCTCCCCTGCCTCTAATAATGAAGCAGGAACCGAGTTCAGTCATCAGACAGGCTAGGGCACCACCAGCCTGCAGCTGCCCCTAGCACTGGCCCGAGATATCTGCCATCTCTGCCCTAGGAGTGAGCAGCTGGCCAAGGGGGCCCATTCACTGACCTGTCTGTGGCCTGTCCTCAGGGTCCTGACCTCATTCCTGAGGTCCCCCAGCAACTGGTGACTAACTGTGCCCAGCAGCTGGAGAAGGGGCCCTGCAAAGACCTCTTCCAGGAGCTAACCCGGTAAGCCTCTCCCTCCCACAGGCCTAAAATTGCGTCCTGAGGAGGGGCTTCTGTGGGTCTGGAAGACTGTGAACAGCTCAGCTGCTCAGCCTCTCATCCCAGCCTTGCCATGCTGTGTGACCTGGGGCAGGTTGCCTCCCCTCTCTGTAGCATCCTCAACTTCAGCACGGGTGTGTCTCCGTCCTAGGTGGGTTAGCAGGAGGGTTGGCTGAGGATGCTGCCTTTTAGGCTGAGCGTGCATGTAACAGGGGGACTGGTCCATCAAACTAAGAACCTGGGATGTCGGGCTGACCAGTGGGCTGGGCCTTCTCAATAGGCTGACCCATGAGTACCTGAGTGTGGCCCCTTTTGCCGACTACCTCGACAGCATCTACTTCAACCGTTTCCTGCAGTGGAAGTGGCTGGAAAGGTGAGCTCCTCGAAGGTGGGGCCAGGCCGGCCAGGTTGTTGGGGCTGTCATGGGCCTTGGACCCCTGCTCAGTCATTTGCTCCCCAAATCCTTTCCCACAGGCAGCCAGTGACCAAAAACACCTTCAGGCAGTACCGAGTCCTGGGCAAAGGTGGCTTTGGGGAGGTGAGTGGCCAAGCCAGACCATGTAGTGGTGGGGTAGAGTGGGTCCTGGACAAGCCCTCCTCCCTGCCCCCCAAACCTCTGTACCCCCAGCAAGAGCACAGCTTGTTCCCATTTGCCTCATCTACCCTGCCTATTAGGTGTGCGCCTGCCAGGTACGGGCAACAGGCAAGATGTATGCCTGCAAGAAGCTGGAGAAGAAGCGCATCAAGAAGCGGAAAGGGGAGGCCATGGCACTCAATGAGAAGCAGATCCTGGAGAAAGTGAACAGTAGGTTTGTAGTAAGTACAGACAGGAGACCCGCCCTGCCCCCTGGCCATGTGCTTGCCCTCCCCACTCACCAGGCTGATCTTTTCCCCCCACCCCACCCCTCACCCCTCCAGGCACTGCCTCCCATTCTTGGAGATGCCTGGGAAGGGCAGGTTTTGGGGTGTTGATACCAGGCCTGGGAAGCAGGCTGGGCCCCCAGGAGTGGCACTGAGGATATTTTGGGCGCTGGCACCAGCCCCGCCACCAGGTGGCCTGTGTTCCCTGCCTGAGGGCTCGGGTCCCTTGGGCCACAGGTGAGCTTGGCCTATGCCTATGAGACCAAGGACGCGCTGTGCCTGGTGCTGACACTGATGAACGGAGGTGACCTCAAATTCCACATCTACCACATGGGCCAGGCTGGCTTCCCAGAGGCACGGGCCGTCTTCTATGCTGCCGAGATCTGCTGTGGCCTGGAGGACCTGCATCGGGAGCGCATTGTGTACAGGTGCGGAGCTTTGCCTCCCACCAGGGGCTGTGGCTGGGCATGAGTGAAGGTGGTGGGTAGATGTGGGTGTCTGAGTCCTGGGAAGCACTGGCTCGAGGCTCTGCACTTGCCCACATTAGGTGGATTTGAAAGGCTCAGAACCCAGACTCTGGGATCTGGCTGGCATGGGGGTGTATCCGGCATTGTCACCCTTCTCAGTGACTTTGGGCCAGTCTGCTTCCTGCGCCTAACACCGTTTCCTTTCCTGGAAAGCAGAGGCTATAATTCCTGCCTGGTGGGTTGTTATAGGGGCCAAATGAGAGGATTTGGTAAAATACACAGGGCTTGGCAGTGAGGGCTCTGCCTATTACTGTTATTGGTGATTATTTCCTTGGAGTCTCCCAATAGCCCCAGGAGGGAAAGAATGAGCAACCCCATTTGACAGGAAAGGTAGAGTCGGCCACCAAAGGGTTGGGGGGACCATGGGGGGAGCCCCTCGACACTGGGTGGGTGAGCAAGGCTACTAATGACATCTGGGGAGCTTCCCTAGGTAAGAGATGCCTTCCACATGCCTAGTCAGTCCCAGGAGTACTGGCTCCATAAATCCTTTGTCTGCTCCCTCGAACTGGGGTTGCTGCGGGTGGAGGGCAAGGCTCTCTTGTCACCCTGGCAACAAATGGCTCCTACACGTGCTGCACATCGCATCCCAGGAGCTGACCCAACAGGGAGGGGGTAGCCCTGCCTGGCTGCCTGGCACACTGAGCAGCATCTGATCCTGCCCTTCTCTCCCCACAGGGACCTGAAGCCAGAGAACATCCTACTGGATGACCATGGTGGGTGGGGGGGTCACAGAGGTAGGGTGGTGTGGGGTGGGGTCCAGCCCACCTGCTTCATGGGCTCCTCACTTTTTCACCCACGTTCAGGTCACATCCGAATCTCTGACCTGGGGCTGGCTGTGCATGTGCCTGAGGGCCAGACCATCAAAGGCCGTGTGGGCACTGTGGGCTACATGGGTAAGTCCTCTCACCGTCCTGGGCCCGACACCTCCCTCCCCCCAACTTCTGTGGAGTCTCCTGTGTCTCCGGGAATAGAAAGAGCTATTGTCCCTCCTTCATAGATCAGGAGTCAAGACTCAGCCAGGGCCCCACATCCGTGTGAACCCACTTCATCTATTACTTACTGAGCTCCTATTGGCTGGACTTGCAGGTGGCAACCAGTGAAGGGACTTAAACCCATGTCCATGGCCCCAGCCCTCCACCCCCCTGACCTGCCTGTACTCAGAGTGGGAGTGCCCATCTGGAGAGGGGCCAAGATGAGGTCCTGGGTTCCCCTCTGGGACCACATGACACAGTAGGCAGAGCCCGAACTGCAGGTGGTCTCTTACCCGCCCCTTGCTTATTGTGTGTCCTTGGACCAGCCACTCCCAGCCTCACTTTCCCTGACTGTGATCCTCATACCTCCTGCCAGGGTTGCCTCGAAGATGAAGAGGCAGTAGAGGCAACTCACCCTGCCCTGTAGGCAGTGTAGGCATCCAGCAAGTGACTTTCCTCCTTTCCTTGGTCTAATACTAAATCCATAGGTTGCAAACTGGTAGCCTCACGGGCTTTATTTGGCCTATGTTTGTGTGTTTCAATCAAATTAGTTTAAAACGATTGGAATTGGTTGCCAACATTGAATGAGCCAGGCTGCCTCACATTAAAAATACGGATTTCTGACTTGTTTGAAAAGTTAGAAACCTGCCCTCTGCAGGTGCTCTCCTACTCACCATGGTCCCCACCGGGCCATTGGCGGTGCCTACTTGCCTGGTGGGTGTTCGAGCTGATCCCCTGCCTTGACATGTGCTGGGCTTCCTGGGGTACCCCTAACTCCTTCTTACCCCTAACTCCTATGCCACCCACCCAGCTCCAGAGGTGGTGAAGAACGAACGGTACACGTTCAGCCCAGACTGGTGGGCGCTAGGCTGCCTTCTGTACGAGATGATTGCAGGCCAGTCGCCCTTCCAGCAGAGGAAAAAGAAGATTAAGCGGGAGGAGGTGGAGCGGCTGGTGAAGGAGGTGGCTGAAGAGTACTCCGATCAATTTTCCCTGCAGGCCCGCTCACTCTGCTCCCAGGTGTGGCAGCCAGCGGGAGGCCTGGGCTGGGGCTGGGCACCTCTCCCAAGGCCTCCCTGATCACCCCTCCCCTGCTACAGCTCCTTTGCAAGGACCCTGCCGAGCGTCTGGGGTGTCGTGGAGGTGGTGCCTGTGAAGTGAAGGAGCACCCCATCTTCAAGAAACTGAACTTCAAGCGTCTGGGAGCGGGCATACTGGAGCCGCCCTTCAAGCCTGATGTGAGTACCACCTATCTGAAGGCAGGACCAAGCCAGGGTGGGGGCTGGCGGCTCTTGGAGTCAGGATACCTTCCATTTGAATGTAAGAAAGCCTAACTCAAATGGCTTAGCCAACAAAACAGATAATTCCCTGGACTCACAAAAATGAAAAGCCCCATCTTGGGCTCCAACTGTGTTGTAGGAATGGTCTCTCTCCTCCCTTCCCGAGAACTGGTCAAGGGGCAGCATTTACTCGCAGGTAGCTCTCCCAGGGCATGGCAGTGGTGGACCCAGCAGCTCGAACCCACAGTCTGCCAGCTCAGCCACTCCTGTAGATAAAGAGCACCTCTTGCCCAATGATTTAAAAAGTCCTAAAAGGGAGGATAAAAGGCCTAAGGCTGACGCTAATTGCCTTTGATTCCTCAGAGGCCCCTCAGTGGCCACACCCGGATCATATGCCTACCTGCAGCACTGCTAATGGAGGAGACCAGTTCCCCAAAGGAAAACCAAGATGCTGTTAACAGCAGGGGGAAGGGCTGTTAGGGTTGGCATAACACCTGGTGCCCACCACACCTGGCAGTGCTCACCTTCCATCTGTGGGCAGAACCCTCCCTCTTGTAGAAGCTCACCCATTTGCTGACATCTCAGTGGGTCAGGCATCCTGCAGGCAGGAATATTCTTGAGTTATCAGACTCCAAGTGGCAAAACCCCAACTCAGACTTACTTATGCCCAACATGGAGTTTGTTGGTTCATTCGGCCAGAAAGTCCCAGAGTAGGGCCCACATCAGGGTTTTATGCTGTGTTGCCAGGACTCCATCTCTTGGCTCTGCTTCAACCTGTTGACTGCCCTCCCACTAAATTCAGGCTTCTCTGTATGAAGTCACAGGGAAGGTTCTGATTGGCCAGAATTAGGTCATGTGCTTACTCCCCTCCCATATGTGAGAGGCCTGTGTCCTGTGTTCACCAGGAACACATGAGGCAGGAAGGTGATGGGCAGACCAGGTTGATGCATGATTGTTTATTCATTCAACAAATATCTGAGTGCCCAGATGTGCCAGACCGTGGAGATAATGAAGTCAACAGGACCCAGTCCTGTCTTCATGTTCTAGTGGGAGAACACACCAGTATAGGCCAGTAAGTGAAAACATTTTAGGTAATGTGAAGTGCAGCAGCAAAGAATAAAGCAGGTAAAAAGAAGATAAGGAAGATGGGGGATGGTCTCTGAGGAGTTGACAGTTAAGCAGAAGCCTAAAATATGTGAAGGAAAGAACCCTGCCAGGATTCATAGTGTGAGCATTCCAGGGAAAAGGCCTGAGCCAGGCAGTGCGGTCCTGGGGCAGGGACCAGCTTCAAGAACTAATACAGCAACGAGGGGCTAGTATGACAGAGGCGTCTTCCTCTGAGTGTGATGGGGGCCTCTGGGAACATTGAGACAGGAATGTGAGGTGTTGGGTGGGCCATAGAGGAGGTGAGTGGAAGGGAGGGACCCAGTAGCGGGCTGCTGCCTCTGAAGGACTCTGCCATGTAGGCCTCACTGACACCCATGATGTGGGCATTGCTGGGGGTGGCTGAGCCTGACGTCAGCAGCTGCCTCCAGCTGCACTGCCACTCCTACTTCCCAGGCACGTCGTCTAATTTAACCTTGAAACCACCCACTGCCCCCAGTCTTTCATTCTAAGTAGAAAACCAGCCCAGCCGGCGTGGCTCGGTTGAGCGTCAACCTATGAAGCAGGAGGTCATGGTTTGATTCCCGGTCAGGGCAGGTTGTGGGCTCGATCCCAAGTGTGGGGCGTGCAGGAGGCAGCCGATGATGATTCTCTTTCATCATTGATGTTTCTATCTCTCTCCCTCTCCCTTTCTGAAATCAATAAAAATATGTACATTTTTTAAAAGTTAGAAAATCAGTGCCTTGGACTTTAACAAGGCACTGATTGTTTTTAACAGCTTTATTGGGAGTTAATTCATATACTATGTAATCCACTCATTTTAAAGTATATAATTAGATGGGTTTTAGCATATTCAGAATTGTACAAGCATCATCACAATCAATTTTAGAACATTTTCATCACCCCCCCCCCCAAAAAAAAAAACACAAAAAACCTCGTACCCATTAGCAGTCATTCCCCATTCTCCCCTTCCCCTGGCAACCACTAATCTTTCTGTCACTATAGACAGGGTGCGCTAAAAAAATGTATACATACTTCATAGCTGATAGCTCAATTGATTTTTTTTCTTTTCAGATTTAACCCATTGGAATTAATAATTATTCAAAGTGTGTACAGTTTTTGGGGACACCCTATATTTGCCTAATCTGGACATTTTATATAAATGAAATTATACACGATGTGGTCCTTTATTAATGGCATCTTTCCCTTTGCATGTCTTTTTTCTTTTCTTTTTCCCTTTGCATGTTTTTAAACCTCATCAGTATTATAGCACATTTCAGTTCTTCTCTGTGACTGCACAATATTCCAGTGTATGAATAGTCCACATTTGTTTGTCTTCATCAGTTGCTAGACATCAGGGTTGTTTCCACTTTTTGGCTATCGTGAATAATGCTGCCACGAACATGCACATACACATTTCTGTGGGGACACAGGTTTCCTTTTCTCTTGGCTGTGTACCTAGGAATGGAGTTGCTGGCTCATCTGGTAATGCTGTTTAACCTTTGGGGAACTGCCAGACTGTTTTCCAAGGCAGCTGCACTATTTTATATGATGATGTTTTAATTGATATCCTTAATAGTAGGGGATGGAGCAAGCTGTTGAACATCCCAAGACAGAGACCCCTCAGCACTGGGCCCTGCATGCAGGTGCCCTCTGAAGGTGCCTGCTGAGATTCAGCTTCTGCTCACCTCACCAGTTGCACACGCAGAAAGCTGTGTGCAGACGGAGGGGGCACTTGTTAGTGGTTCCACCCGGCACTGTGGAGGCTGCTGGCTGTGGTGGGTCAGCTACCAGCAACTGGTCAGGGATGGAGAATGATTCCATTTACAGAGGGGAATTGAGCTCAGAGGGAAGGGACTGCCATGCTTACGAAGTACATGGGTTGCTGGTTTCTGACTCCAAACCAGAGAGCACAACCAGGCCAAGACTGGAGTGGTTCTCAGGGCTGAGCTGCCCTCCCATGCTCCTATCTGACCACTGCCTTTGTCCCCTCAGCCCCAGGCCATTTATTGCAAGGATGTCCTGGACATCGAACAGTTCTCCACGGTTAAGGGTGTGGAGCTGGAACCCACGGACCAGGACTTCTATCAGAAGTTTGCCACGGGCAGTGTGCCTATCCCCTGGCAGAATGAGGTGGGACCTGCCCAGCTGAGGGGGGGAGGGGGGCGGGTGAAGAGGCTCCAGAGGTCGGCCCTGGGGGCAGTCCTCACAGCTGCTGTCCTATGGCAGATGGTGGAGACCGAGTGCTTCCAGGAGCTGAATGTCTTCGGGCTGGATGGCTCAGTTCCCCCAGACCTGGACTGGAAGGGCCAGCCCCCTGCACCCCCCAAAAAGGGACTGCTGCAGAGACTCTTCAGTCGCCAGGTAACCCCAGTAGTGTCCTCCCTGGGCCCCAGCCTTGCTCCAGGGGATGGTGGGTGGGAGGCCGGGCCAGTGCCCGCATGTGCTGTGAGTGGGCTTCCTCCAGCCGTGCCAGTGGTACCCAGGGTCTCTGGTCTCATTCCCGCCCATCCCCCACCTCTGGCTGGGCTCACGGCCTCTTTTCTCTTTCCAGAGGTGAGCAGTGTAGGCTCCCCGTGGGTTGGCTTTGCTGCCTGGCCTCGGGGAGCCACGGGCAGCCCTTCCATGGCAGAGGCGAGATGTGGGAGAAAGAAGTCCGGTGCCCGCTCCCCACCTTACCCTCCCCACTGCTTTCGTTCCCTGCACCCCGGCACCTTCAAGCTGCTAGCCTTGCTTAGCCATCTGTTTCCCCGTGCCCTGCCTTCAGCTGCCCCAGGGAAGAGCAGCTTGATGGGGCCCTGCCCTGGCAAAGCCTGGATTCCACCTGGTCCCCTTACTTCAGCCTGTAGTTGGCAGCCCCTGCACCAATGTGTGGCCTGAGCTGCTGCTCCAGGCCCCTCGTGGGAGGTCCCCTCCCAGAGCATGGCCCACTCAATGATGGCACTGGTGGCTAACAGCGCTTGCTCTGCCTCTCTCCCTCTGTGTCTTCCCCGCCCTCCAGGACTGCTGTGGGAACTGCAGCGACAGTGAAGAAGAGCTCCCCACCCGCCTCTAGCCCCCAGTCTGAGGCCCCCACCGGCGGTTGGCGGTAGCAGCTACTTCGAGTGCTGTTTACAGTTTTGCACAGTGGTCCTCCCCATTGTCCACTCAAGTTGTGGCCTGGGGAACACAGCCGGAGCTGTCCCCAGTGTTCTCTGCCCCTCGGCCCGCAGTCTGGCTGAGTTTGGCAAGGCCTAGGCTGTCCTTGGGACAAAGGTGCGTCCCTTCAGCTCTTGTCCGTGGAGCTCGGGGCTTTCTGTATTTATGTATTTGTACGAATGTATATAGTGACTAGAGCATTCTGAAGACCCACGCTGGAGCTGGCAGAGGGGCCACTGCCAAACTCAAGGCTCCTCAGGCCCCTGAGCCCCCAGCACTGTGCTCACCGCTGCCGACCTCTGAGTGAGACTCGTGCCTGCCTCTGCTGCCCTGGCTCAGGCCACCACCTCGGGCCCAATGCTGTCCCTTCTCAGCACTTGTCAGAGCTGGATCTGGGGCATGTGCCAAAGTATGAACAGAGATTGGGCTGACTCTGGGACCCATCAGTCCACTGCCCAGGCTGTCCCAGAGGGGTGTGGGGTGTGCCTCTGCCTTCCAGCTCCCAGGGCACCTTGTCCCTCATGTTGTGCCCTGTCCTGAAGACACCTCTTGCAGAAATGTCCCATCCCAGGCGGGTAAAGGGGGTGTCCCTGGCCAACCCTCAAACATTCCAGACTTCTCTCATAACAATAGACACATGTGCCCAGCAATAATCCACCCCTCCCTCTGCGCGTTTGTGTGCGTGTGTGTGCGTGTGTGTGTGTGTGTGTGTGTGTGTGTGTGAAGGGGGCAGGCTGAGGTTGTGTGCCTATACGCCAGGCCCCACCCAGCCCTTCCCAGACTGGATAGCCATCCTGGTCCCAGTGTTGGAGTAGCATGGGATTACAGGACCCTGGTTTTTCCATATTTAAAGCCAATTTTTATTACTCATTTTGTCCAATGTAAGCTGCCATGTGTCTCTATGTGAATACAGTCTGAGCACAAAGCTGGCCTGCTGCCCCTGCCTGCCTCTTTCTTGCTCCTGGTGCTCGGCCGGTCTTCCTTCTTCCCTGGATCTGCTGGAAGTGGGAAGGGATTGGAGGTGGGCCTGGTGGGGACTGCCCTTCTAGCAAGGGCCAGGAGTTCCCAGGGTGACCTTGGGGCAGCCTCTCCAAGCATTCAGGCCTTTGGGTTTCTTAGCTTCCTACATGGGATGAGGCCTGAGGGAATTGGGTCCCCACCAAGGTGTGGGTCTGGCTTTGCCTGATATTGAGAGGCAGGCTCAGCTGGCAATATCCCCTCCAAGGCCAAGGTGGCCTGGCCCTCAATTGTGGACTTGGAGCAGCCTGGGGAGTGAGGTGGAGCTGCTGTTAGAAACACCTGCCCAGTCTGTCTCACCTGGACACCTGCTGTGTGCCTGGCCCAGGGCCAGTGCACGTGCAGTAGAGCCATCCCTCTGCTTTGCCCTTGAAGCAGGGAATGTGGCCAGGCCAAGACGAGACAATGGCAATACTGGGCATTAGGCTGTAGCAGAGCCATATGGGCATCAGAAAGGGTCTTCTGAAGATAGAAGTTGAACCAGGCCTTTGAGACATTCAGCTGGGATCAGAGGGATTAGGAGAGCATACCATTCCATAGCATTCAAAGTGCAAAGACGCGGTGGGGGGCGGGGGCATGTGACAGCCTGTTAACCACAAGTCTGTCCCAGTCTTAACAAACCTGTTGTTTGATAATCTCCCAGTGACCTCAGCCACACACATACCCATGCCCTGTGCCACCGTAAGAGTTTGCTTATTGCCTCTGGGCTGGGTACCCCATGCCATAGAGACCACATGAGCTTTGCTGTTGGTTCTGGATTCAAGTCCCAGCCTAGTCACTTTGCCAGATGGAAAGATGCGTGTGATACCTATTGCCTCACAAGGCGGCTATGAATGAGAAGTAGCCAGTCACCCCTCCCCTTGAGCCCCTAGGTCACTAACAGGACTGGGTTCCAAGATGACAGTTATCTCAGGCAGTCAGAAAGAAAACTCCAAGCAACAACTTAGAAGATGGGGTCTCTTGGGCTATCTCAGGTCTTGATGGTGAGTGGAGTGTGCTCTTCTATTAACTTGAGGGGAACAGAGTAAGGAAAGGGCCTTGCCAAGCTCTTCCAGCTGGTGAGTGGCTGTTGCAGGGCAAAGGAAGGCAGCTGAAGATGAAGCTGGATCCTGCCCATGAGGTTAGGGCCCAAGGTACACTTTCCTCTCTGCGCCAGGCTCTGGGAGGAAGGGCAGTGAGGAGGTATCAGCATGCAGAGGCCGAAGCCCAGCCCTCGGCAGGTGTGAGTGGGTGTCAGGTGGACAGGAAGGACCCTGTGGCACACTACCTGCAGTGGGTCCAGATCTCCCACCAACCTTCCCCTTGGGATAGGGAAGCATCCTGGAAACTTCTTGACTAGGGTTCAGCTTACCTTAAAGCTCACAGTGCACCATTGGCAGAGGAAACTCGGAATCACTTCCCAACAAGTCTTCCTAAGCTCACCTGCTCTGAGAGGGAGCTGGGGACTCGAAGGTAAGCTTGGAGCTCAGTCTGGTAAGGAGGCAGACATGGGAATAGTGGGAGCCAGTGTGAGCAGGTGGCAGAAATCATTCAAAAGCTGGCAGGGCTGGGACTAGGGAGGGAAGGCCCTTTGGCTACAAAGGTGTCAGAGTTGGTGCCCTCCAGCACACAGGACCAGATGTATCTGGATAGTCTAGGGCCGTGGTCGGCAAACTGCGGCTCTTCAGCCCCTTGAGCGTGGCTCTTCCTAAGCCTTAGGAGTACCCTAATTAGGTTAATAACAATGTACCTACCTATATAGTTTAAGTTTAAAAAATTTGGCTCTCAAAAGAAATTTCAATCGTTATACTGTTGATATTTGGCTCTGTTGATGAATGAGTTTGCCGACCACTGGTCTAGGCCTCTAGTGGTTTAAGATGGCTAAACATGAGGTGGGTGGGTGAGGTGTGGAAGAAGGGAGTGCCTGGAGCTGAGGTCAGTGAGATACAGCCATGTATGGCTTTGGAAGCAGTAATGTTGTGGGGTCTCATCTGGGAGGCAGTGGAAGAGTGCCTGCCCAGCATGTACAAAAGCACCCCAAGTTTCCTTTGGGAAACTCTCCACTCAGTCCATGTGGTTTCAATGGGGCCGGGTTTGCACCCACTGCACATACATATCACACACCTAGAGCTGTGTGACAGGTGGGGCTGTTGGGGATCTTTGGTTGCAAGGTAGAAAGTGTTTTTGTCTTTTAAAGAAAGGATGGGGGAGAGCTGATTGACAGGAAGAACCAGACTGGGGCGGCTCCAGGGCCTTAGTCGCAGACCCGATTCTCCCAGAAGGAAGATGCTACAATCATGTTCATGTCTGCATTGCTGACATAAACCCAAGGAATCTGAATAACCAGACTGGAAACCTGCCCACTGTGCATCCGGAGAATAGGGCACTTGGGTTAATAGGTCCACCATGATGACATCCCTGGGACAC